CTCAGTTGGTCGAAGAGATCCTCAATACGAGGAAGGGGGTACTTGTTCTTGACCGTCAGGGTATTCAGCTCCCGATAGTCAATACACATGCGCATTGATCCATCTTTCTTCTTCACGAATAGGACGGGCGCACCCCACGGCGAAACACTTGGCCGAATAAAACCGAGTTTGAGCAATTCCTGGATCTGGGCCTTAAGCTCTTGAAGCTCCTTCGGCGCCATACGGTAAGGGGCCTTAGACACGGGGCCAGCTCCCGGTACTAAGTCAATGGTGAACTCCACTTGGCGGTCGAGTGGTCCTCCGGGCAGCTCATCGGGAAAAAGATTAAGGAATTCGCAAACAATAGAAACTCGCTCCGGAGTACGCTCGGAATCATCCTTGGACACCATAGAAACAAGATAGCCTTGGCAGCTACCCTTGGAAAGGCTCTTCCTAGCTTGCATAGAAGAGATGACTCGAGGCACAGTCCTCGACTTCACCCCAAAGAATACAACCGACTGATCAGAAACGGGAAAGAGAGTGACTTCACGCTCCTGGCACCGGATGTCGGCTCGATAGCGGGTGAGCCAGTCCATGCCCAAGATCACATCGAAGTCCCGCATTTCAATCACATAAACACTGGCCTCCAAAATGTGCCCTCCAATACTGACTGGAAGACTGGGAATCATAGAATCAGAAATAATAATCTTTCCCGAGGCTAGACTAACCTCGAGAGGGTCACAAGAATTCACAGTGCTAATAGACAAGGCCTCCAAGCAACAAGAAGAAATAAAAGAATGAGTGGCTCCAGTATCACACAAAGCATATACGGGCACGTTGGATATCGAAAGCATTCTGGACATAGTACCTGCGTTGTTGACTGCCTCATCATGAGTGATGGTATACACGCGGGCCTGACCCCCAGCCCTCTGCTGGTAAGGTGGGGGCTGTCTGGGCTGCTGCTGATGGGGTGGAGGTGGAAGTTGCTGCTGCTGAGGGTAGGGTGGCTGCTGCTGTGGCCTCTTCGGCTCGGGGCACATATGCGAAAAATGTCCGACACGGTGGCAATTGAAACAGTGTCTGTCGGCTGCTCGGCACTCTCCTGGCCAATGGAACTTGCCGCAGTTAGGGCAACTCGGAAGCTGTTCCTGAGGGGGTCGGTCATCACGCCTCCCGAATTAGAACCGGGTGCAACAGCTGAGATAGGCTGAATCATAGGGGTCTGCTGATAGGATGAGACAGCCGCCCTCTGGGCATTCTGGCAAACCTCCAACTCAGTGGCTCGGCGAACCATCTCGGAGTAAGGCAGAGCTCCGTGGCCAGTCAGGGTGTAACAAAGGTCGGGGCGAAGACCATCACGGAAACAAAAGGCCTTCTTCTGGTCGGTATCCACGAGCATCGGAGCAAATGCGCACATACGAGTGAAGTCGCACTCGTAGACATCCACGGGACGGGGTCCCTGCTTGAGCTCCCAAAAGTCCTTCATCATCTGGGCACGGTGAGCCTCTGGGTAATACTTGTCCTTGACTATAGTAACCATCTGGTCCCAAGTCAATGCATCCCTCTCAGCACGAGGATGAAGCCTCCAATAGTCATTCCACCAAGTCCTAGCACCTCCGGTCATGACGAACGAGGCACAATGGATTTTCACCTCATCAGTGGTGAACAACAGATCAAAGATACTCTCCAGCTGCTGAAGCCATTCCGCCACAGCTTCGGGGCCCTCAACTCCGCTGAACGCCGGAGGATGCATGTTACGGAAATCGATCACAGCTTGGGTAATGGGATCTCTACACGGAGCATGCTGATGATGAGGAGGAGGAGGCGGGGGAGGTGGTTGCTGCTGATAGTTATTGCGGGTTTGACGAGCCATTTCTCGACATTGAAAAATGAGCCGCAAAGATTTAGCACACAATAAAAGAAGTCTAGAGTTCAACACTAGAGCTCACATTTTAAAGGTGGATAAAACCTAACCCCAAATATTAGCTTTACATTTCTCAAGTATATACATCAATACTTATTTAAGACATACCTTAAGCAGTGCGGCATGACGAAGACGAGTGGTCAACACACAAGATAAATTCACACAATCACTTAATCACATATAAACCAGTCTACAGAAACGCAGACTGGCTCTGATACCAAACTGTAACGCCCCAAAGATTTTTAAAGACAATTCCGGACTTATCCAAAAATCTTGTTTTAAAATTTTCAAAAACCATATATCGATTCATTAAACATTTGGCGTTACCCGAGAACTTTCCAAAGTTAAACACATAATCAGCATAAGGGAAACGAGAATATTCAACAAAATTCACGTTCCAAGACTAGATTTCACATATCTAGCAATAGGATTGTCAACATAATCCAAACTGATAAAAATATTTCACATGGTTCAACAGTTCAACCAATCCCGAAAGCAATAGGGATGAATAACAAAGTCTGATAATCTCAACATAAATATCAAAGCAAGCGGAAGCAATATAAAGCAATAATAATGTTTGACCACCCACTCGTCTTCAGTCTCGTCATGCCCAACACTTGCTTAACCTGCATCAATGAAGAGCAGGTGGGGATGAGCACAAATATAAACGAGGTGCTCACCACTATGCATAATATATTGGTAAGAAGCCTATACTAGAGTCATATGCAAGTACATGGTCAAAAGACATAACACACCACTCTCCTACTCATCACTATACTCATGTGCACACCTATCAAAAGCCGCCAGGGGTAAGCCCAAACTCGTCAGCGGGAGTACAGTCGTGCCGAGGTTCAACATCAACGGTCACGGCCCAACAACTAGGCTAAAATGAGTCCACCAATCACAAGGTTGGAGATCGCCCACCACTAGGCACCGTCTCATGACTCACACATACATTCATAGAACACAAAGTATAAAAATCTTACCTCAAATATAGCATAGCAAATTTCAGATTAAAACCCACCTGGAATTTGCGGTAGAATATTGCACACGAAAACAAGCACGTAGGTCGAGGGCTCGACTCCTCAAACACCTACATTTAAGCGAGATAATATATCAATAATATATCTCATTACTTGAATTTAACATAAAACCCATACTTAATAAAAATTAAGTCTTAAGGGTTTTAATCGGATTTTTCGTGGACTTGGAACTCTCTCATTTTTGACAAATATGACTCGGAGGACAAAATTGAAGTTTCGAGACTTAAAATAATTTTTCCAAAATTTTATTATTTTTAAAGATATTTTTAAAATTGAAATCGGTACGAAAAACGGACTCCGGAACACAAAAATAGGCTAAAAGGCACATTTGGGCCGAGCTGCCAAGGAAGTAGATAAATTAGGCCACAATTGAAGGGTCTGGCCCAATAATAAGGGCTGAAGTGGACGCGGGCTGGTCACTGGGCTTGCGGGCTGTAGCTGGAGATAGGGAACGGGCTGCGCGCGGGCTGGAATCGGGCCAAGCGGCCCGCGCGCTGGGCTGCTTACAATAAATAAAAAAAAATAGAATTTTATTTTGGGAGAGCTGGGATCGAACACCTGACCACCCACACAAACATGCGCATGGCTCACCACTGCACCACTCGCTCAATCGTTCATTATTATGCAACCAAAATATAATGTATTGAGGCCTGTAACTGGG